TACATTGCGCGAAAACCCTGTTTCGCAACAACTGAGATCCGGAGTGCAGCCCGCAGGTCACATAGCAACGACGCGTTATTCGCATTTATAAGCACTGCAGTTGGTTTCCTTGTACGTTAAATCTGCAACGAGAGACTGTCACACACTAAACAGTGGCGAAGCTGAAGTCAGCTTCTTTTTTTAATTCTCCCGTTCCACCTTAAATGGTGTCGCATGTACTGTCGGCGCCTCAGTCAGAATTTAAGGTGGAACGGGTAAATTCGAACAAGAAGCTGGAGAATAAGAAGCGACTTCAGCCTCGTAAAACAGTCGAACGCATTTTACAATAAGCTGCTCTAGTTTTGAATAAAAGTTTCCTGATGGAAAGGGGAGGAAAGCGGCTAAAGCTTAAAGTAGAGCAAAGTAAATCTGTTGTTTTCGTTTAGCCTATACCAAGACATTATCACATACTGACACATACTGGACATTAAATGTTGTGGCTCCCAAGGTGGTTTGATTTTTGTTGAAAGGCAAAATGTCTCTTCTGATCATTTGTGTTGTGACTCCTGACCTAACCTGGCTTTAATGCAGAGGGAGCCGGTCGGATTTCTCGCTCATCCCATTGTGTTTTTGTTATGTGCCGCCAGAGACTCTCCGGGCACTGCACTTACCCACTTCCAAGTTCCGCCTTTTGCGTTCCGTCAACATTACGTTATAAATTAAATATTTAGAAAATCGATTTTTGACATTTGTTAATCGATTCAGAATCGTTCACGTCCGCATCGCGATGCATCTAAGAATCGATTTTTTTCTCGCACCCCTAATGCCCACAATGTAAAGATATGTACTTGTAAAGTAGCGTGTAAGTTGCATGTAAAATATCAGATATCAGCTTCAGCCCAGAATTCCCATGTTGGTGCATCCCTAGATATAACTATTTTTTATCAGAATTGTTTAGCTTTCAAGCAGTCTGGTCTCTGAAGCAGCAAGGCAGTCCCACACCATTATACTCCCTCCACCATGCTTCATATTTGGGAAGAGGTTTTAATGTACTTTTTCCTTCCAAACACGATAATCTATACAGTTAGCATAAAAAGTTTAAGTATTATGTCACCTGTCATCAAAATAGTGCTGTGGAATGAGGAAGTCTTCAGCAAATTTGAGATATTACCTTTTTTTTGGAAAAAATTGCTTTTCTCCACAGTGACATTCTATGCTTTCAACTCTCACTCAGTGTTTTTCTCATGGTAGGCCTTATGAATACAGACTACAAACAACTGCAAGACAGAGTTCTTTGTTGTGTGTGTGTGATTCTATAGAAAGCTCTTGCATTGTGAGCATCCACTCACAGGAAGAGCAGCTAATGGTGCCGAATCTTTTCAATTTCCAATTATTAATCCCAACTCCTGGTTCTTTTATTTTTCCATCAGTGACCTTGATTGTTTAAACTATTTGGTCAGTAATGAAATGCTGGGTGCCGTTTGTTGATTAAGGCTTTCCTTTGTATTATTATGACTGAGATGAAGATCAGGACATATTTTAGAAGCCTGTCATGCAGAAAATTATTTTGTCCAGACAGTTCCAAAGGATTCACAAACCTTTTCCTCAACTATGTGGACTAATCATAAGTAATCTAACTGCCATAATACAATAATAATCTGCATTGCTTTTGGAAAACTTGGCCCTGCTTGGATAAATGAATAAAGCTCATGGGTGCAGTTTCATGCACATGATAAAGCCATGTTTGTATAATTGCATTATTTGAATGCTAAGTACGATAAAATGTATATTTGAGTGCTGTTTATTCATCCTCTTGTTTCTCATCCAGTAGTGCTCCCAGTGAATGGAAACAATCAAATAGACACAAGCTAAAGAGGCCACACACTGCCACAGACCCACACTCCTTCTCCACATATGCCTTGTTAAATACAAGAAGCTTTTCTCTGTATGCGAGTTCTTTTCAAAGTTCACCAGCTGTGATATGCTTTTTCTCCTGAATAATGCATGCGCATTAGCCAGGACCCCTGGTGCCGTTCTTCTTCTCTCTCTCTCCATTTCTCTTCTCCGTCATCTGTTGGTAGTGAAAGCTCTGAGAAGGAGACCCACCTTCATGCAAGACAGCTGCACTTCACCTAAGGCCTTACAAGCTATGTTGATGTAGAAAGCCCAATTACCGGAGTGGAACAGCCGAGCACAGCATTTCCATATCACAGAAACTGAGCAATGTTCTAATATTCCTGTCCACTTAAATGTGAACAGCCACAATTTGGTATCGGGCATGTGGATTTAACAGGCCTTGGCGCTGTGTTGCATGTGTCAGTCAGACACCTCTGAGCCTGTAAACAGGTCCTGGAACAGCAGATCATGCAGGGAGAGTTCTGATAATGACAGCACTCCAGAGATAGGGAGTCTGGGCTAATGAGCTTGTGGTTGACTGAGCAAGCATGCCCAGCTGAGTATCAATGAGGATATCAGAGGCAACATCAGCAGCCATGCATGGTACCCATGCCAGGGTTTTGCCATGTGTCTCTCTGCATGAGTGGGATTACAGTTTGGCCATGTGCATGCTGATATGCATGTGGCTCATATCGTTCATATTGATACTTGCATATGATTTAACAGCTGTTGGGCACCACTTTATACATTGCCATATCCAAAGTGAGACATGTCAGTAGGATCAAGGTACTGCTGTTTGAATGACACTGTATTTGTATGACAGAGACAGTGTGTCCAGTGTTGGGTCCAGCATCGGCACTGAGGATATGGGTGAGGGCATTCGAAACTGGCTAGGTGTGCCACGTGGGGTTCGTGGAGGCAGAGACTCTCCGTATGGTGGCAGCAGTACCAGATGCCAGTCAGTCACTGACACAATGAGCACCTACAGTTTCAGGTACTTTACTGCAAAGCAACCTCTAATTATAATCACCTCACATAGTCTGGACAAACACCAAAGAGGTCTGAAATCTGTTACTATGGAAATATGCTGATTTATTTCATTTTCATTATTAATGAATAATCAAAATAGACTTTGATTTATCCACCTCCATTTGTACCTTTTCAGGTCTTGTTCTCAGGACTTGGAAGAGGATGCAGGGATGCAGACCTCTGGGGGTCTTGGCAGGGCATCATCCTCCGCAGCCCTGTCTGAGCTTCTGGAGGGCTTACGGAAAAAGCGGGCTGGGGCTGGGTGGGACCGAGGTTCAGAAATAGGCGAAGGTAGCACAGTGTCACTTCCTATTTACCAGACGACAGGGGCCTCCACTCTTCGGCGCAGAGCTTCTGCCCTTTCACTAGAGCCTGACGAGGGCCTAGAGGAACCAATTCGGCCAGGAATTCTGAAACCCCCCAGTCCTCTCCTACCTCGCGCCTCCAGTCTACAATCTCTGCCTGAATCTGTGCCAACCACCTCCACAGCCACATCCACCATAGGAAAGATGAGCCGTTTCAGCTCCTGCGACTCTATCACCTCCACGGGTTCCCGACGTCATCTCTCTAAACTCTCAATCCCTGAGGAAGGGGAAGAGGAACCCTGCATAAAAACCTTGTCCACCTTAGGTTCCTATCAGCCAATCCGACGCAGACTGCTTGGGGGTCTGGTAGCAGAAGGTGGGGAGGCCCAGCTCGGGACTGAGCCTATTGTGTTTCAAAGTCGCCGACTTCTTGGTAATCCAGACTCAGACAAAGATATGGGGGACACTAACTCAGACGTTGTCCCAGCCATCCGCAGAGCACAGTCTACCAGCAGTCTAGCAGGGAGCAGCTCCAGGGGAGGCCAGCGGCGTGCCCTCAGTGTGCACTTTGGGGAGCTACCCCCCTCCAGAGCATCACGCAGGGACTCTGACTCAGACTCATCTGGCTCCGGAGGTTCTCAGCAGAGGCGTGGTCCCCAGGGAGAAAGGTTGGAGGCTGAAGGCAGCGAGGGAGATGTTAATTCAGTGATGAAAAAATACTTGAGGAAAGCCGAGGTTGACTGAACATGTAGACTTAGGTGAGGCCCCTACCACCAATGGATACATCTTAGCAAGTGTCTCAGAAGCTATGTGAAAACTTATCCTGTAAAAATGTTCAAATGAAAACTAGTCTCAAGGAGAGTACTCCAAATTTTAATCTATCTTCTATACTCAGAAATTGGACATGATTTTGCTGTATTCTTTCTTTTATACAGGAAATCATGGACAAAAGCGCACAGAGCATGGTCCCTACCAAGAACACACTGCAGAAAGTGGGAGCACATGCTGCAGTCATTTTGAACACTGTTTGTACACATGAATAAACGTTTGAGTGGGAAGTTGCTTCTTGAGTGTTTCATGTTGTCAAGACACCAGCAATAGACATAGATGGCAGGGCAGTTTGTCCAACAAGACAAAATACATTTTGACAAGTCAAAGGTCTGTTTTTCTATTATTGGGTGTTGAGGCAGTTCAATGGAAACAGACATCGAAAAAGACCTGTCTTCTAGAGTCATTGGTCTTTGATGCTGACCTTTCCAAAGGGCAGAGCAGAGCACATGAGAACAGATTACAACAATTTTGTTCCTCTTTATACTTAAACAGAACATTTGTCTTAAACAAGACACACAGTAGTTATAGCAAGTGGACAGTCAAACCTGTATTAGGCCCATCATTTTGGACATCTTTTTAGAAAATATAGGATTACCAAATTTGGCATGGGAATTTTGCATTTATTTACACAAACTAGAATGCACAAACTTTAAAGTATTCTTGATTAAATTTAAGCTTGTGCATCTAAACCAAAATACCCAGCCATTTCACAAGCTAGACACTTATAGCCTCATGTCAATAGTTATACCAGTCTGTCAATTGCATTTTAATTCAAGCATACAGCAACTTAACCAGGTCACTCAAAAATAAGGCAAACGAAGTGTTTCAAGCAGATTTAATATGGTCCCTCCAAGTGTCTGAAAATGGAAACATCAGGCCATTTTATTGATAAAAGCCTGATTATGGCTGCGAAGCAAGACAAAGCACAAATGCGTGTTAACATTCAGATCCTATAAGCCACACATCTTCACACCTGCAGAACAGATTTTTTTTTGGCAGGCTGATCTGTATCAAGTCTTTCAAGTGGTGCAATAATGGCTCATCAATCAAACCTTCGCAGCCAGTGGTTTTCTCCCCCTTCCTTTTCCCTGGGAGGGAAAAGTTAAAAAAACCCCAGGTAAACTCCACATTGAGAATATCTACAATGTTTTAATATTCTTACCTTTTTAGGGGGATTATTTTCACCCTCTGATGCTTCACTATATTCAGAAAGTCAAATTAGATTATAGGGCAAGCCAGCATCATAGTCAATGCTTCATTAACAGTACAGAGAAGATTCAAAGCTTACCCCTCATCATCCCCCTTTTCTGGCTTCTTTCTCTTGAAGACAAATATTTAGTCAGTCATTTAGAGCACTGCAAGTGTCAATAGTGTAGATAATACTAACATGCACATGAAATTTAGCCTTACTTTGCCAGCACCAGTTTTCTTCACTTTCTTCACAGGTGACTCTTCAATATCCTCCTCTTCTTCCTCCACCTCCTCATCCATCTCTTCGTCCTCTAGCTCTTCGTCAGAATAGTCTTCCACTGTAAAGTTACAGGAAGGATTAGTTCATCATTAGTTTTTCTTAACTGATACTGAAAGACCGATATCTACCTACTCACAGGCTACGTGCTCAGCTCCGACGAACACGGGGCCCGAGCCGTACCTCAGGCGGAATGTCACGGGGGGGTGCAAGTCTAAACCGGACAAATTGACCTGCAAGACAACGAAAGGGACAGTCGACTGAAAGCGGTCATGAAAGCGAGACCAACAAGGCGAGTACAAGCTCACTTACGGTGGGCATCGACTTGGCGTGTAAAGTGACAATTGGCACAGCTTTGGCGCCATCACCCCCTTCGCCGGTCACCAGCTCCACAATGTTGAACTCGTCTTTGGCCGTGTGACCCAAACACATCTGAGGTAAGTAGAGAAACACCAACCTTTAGCCGTATGAACATAAACAGGCTAGCGGCTAAGAGAGTATAAAGCTTACAGTTCTCAAGGCGAGTTGGTGTTGATGGTTCGTATCGTCCGTCTTAAAAGTCTCTTCTTTATTAGACTCGTTAAGTTCACAGCCTGAAGTGAAGAGAGTACGGTTTAGTCCACCGAACTTGACGGGAGAGATAGTGAACAGTGGCGTGGCATTATTTTCCTTAAAAAAACGGAAGCCGAACAACCTACCCCAGAGAGTTGACAGAGGTTTTTCTGGTTTATTCATTTTTCTTGACAGATACTACCCTGGCTGACCCTGAAAATGTCAAACAGAGCATTGTGTCACTTTAAGCAAACTGACTCAACCTTAAAAGATGGGTTTATTGTCTCACCAGAAAAAGAAACCTGTTCAAGACAACAGAAGAAAGATAGAGCATTGCCAATGCTCGATTTTTTAAAGGGGAGTTAAAATGCAAAGCAGGTGAGAGTAATTAAGGCAGGATCACTTCCAGTCGTCTCGGGTTAATTATGTCCGTGGCCGCCTATATTAAGAGTAAAGAAACAAGTTTATTTTAAACCCTGCAGCCAGAGTTACATAATGAATCGATTTCGTAATTATACATACGAGGCCCTTAGGCCAGGGGTGTGAGACTCAAGTCCTGAAAGGTTGAAGGCTGAATTCCATGTGTTAGAAGAAGGAAAATATAAAATTTCTGCAGGGCCACTAATCTCCGTGGACTTCCAGTAGTCCCTGAATTTGACATATATACCTGCCATCCATCGCGAGTTACTTGAGGTTTGAAAGGTCTACTTAATATTTTTGCCCTCCCAAATTAAAAAAAAACTTTGGTGAATTAAAGACAAAGACAATAATGAGATGAACATTTAGAGTTCCCTTTTATTCCTAAGTGTTTCTGTATGTATATTTGTCTCACTTTTTTGTCCCTAATATAGGCAAGCAGTAAGATTTCTGAAGTCACTGATTACTTTTTTATGTATAATTACAGAAAATGCTTAAGGTCTTTACTGCCACTGCCATTTATACAGCATTTCTCAGTAGATTTTGCGTGGCAGCCTACTGTCTGTAAGAGGCACAGGGGTGCAGCATTGAATTACAGAGGTGATCTGCTCTTGGGTTTGCTATTCTAAAAGTAAGTTCACAACATGACCGAACATGAAATCTGATTCACTATATGTTGTTAAACATTTTTATTAGACTCGTTACACATGGCCAGATACAATTTAGCGTGACAATGCCTTGTACACATACATTTTTTGAAGGCATATATCATGAGTTGTACTGCACGTCTTACACTGTTACGTTCCACCTTCTTAAAATCATATTTACAAATTTGGAAGTGTGTCCAAGTAGAGGATTTGCAAGCTGCATTAACACGTTAAGTAAAAGAGACTCACTTACATGACCCAGAAATACATTATATGGCCAGAAGTATGTGGCTCCTAATTATTGAGCTTATGTGTTTCAGCCACACCTATTGGTAACCGTTGTATAAAAGCAAGCACGTAGCTGTGCAGTCTCTATAGACAAACACGGGCAGCAGAATGGGTTGAACTGAGGAGCACAGTGATTTAAAATGTGGCTCTGTCATAGGATGTCACCTTTGGTACAAGTTAATTTGTAAATTTTCTGACCCTGGTCAACTGTAAATGTTACTGTCATTGTGAAATGGAACCATCTATGGGCAACGACAGCTCAACCACGAAGCAGTAGACCGCTCTGAAGCACGGAGCTCCTCTGTTGCACAACTTAAAACTGCCTCTGGGCTAAAGGACTGTGCGTTTGGAGCTTAATGAAATGGGTTACGATGGCCAAGCAACTGCATGCAGGCCTAAGATCACAATGCTTAATGCCAAGCATCAGCTGGAGTGGTGTAAAGCCACCAATTGACTCTGGAGCAAAAGAAATTTGTTCTCTGGAGTGAGAAATCACACTTTACTCTTTTTACTTTTGTGTACTTTGTGTAGATGGATGAATCTGGGTTTGGTGGATGCCAAGAGAACACTACCTACTAGAATGCATAGGGCCAACCGAAAAGGTTGGTCAAGGACAAATAAAGTTTGGGGCTGTTTTTAAGCATTTAAGATAGGCCCCTTAATTCCAGTGAAAGGTATTACTAGTGCTACAGAATACAGAGATATTTTAGACAATTAAATGCTTCCAACAACAGTTTGGGGAAGGCCCTTTCGTGTTCCAGCTTTAAGTTGAATAAATCATATTAAATGTACATGATTACTTTAAAAGAGAGAACATTTTTTGTTTTCTTATAAGATAGTACTGTGTAAAGGTCAGTTGTGGTGGTCTACCAGGTATTGCACGATTGTTAAGAGTCCCCTTTTTCTCTTTCTTTATCTTTTAATAATTTGTCTAGTCCAGTCCAGTTTTGGAAACTGTATTTTCACTTAATTTTCTTTGGCATCCATCTTCCTTATGCAAGTGGATTATGTTATGTATAATCTCTTCAGGAATATCTGGATGCACATAAAAATATTTGTAAGGCAGCTAAGGTGTGTTTGGGTAGTTGCTTGTGTAAATGTTAGTGTCTATTTGAAGGTTACACTTGAAGTAACACAATTGGGAACAACTTTTGTTAGGGTGCACAGCTGTAACTTGTTGGTTTAAAGATGGGAGGGATAGAATAGTTAAAGTTGCAGACTGCACAAAAGTAAAGAGTAAGATTTGATATTCTACTTGTTTTGTGTTGAAGACTTTTGTGTAATTTTCTGTTAAATATATATTTCCTTCTTCTTTTCTGATACTGACAAATGACTTGCCTAAATGATAAATGAAAGAGTTGTTTCTGACTTTTGCACAGTATTATATAACACTAAAAACAGAAAGCTCCATATGAAAAATATGTTTTCTTCATATGATTTAGATGGGCTTATTATGTCCATCTTTCACATTGGATCTGATGGAGCATCGAGCAAATATACTGCAAACAGAAATAATTCCGATTTTTTTCAATACTATGGTAATGATGGTAATACTTACTTGGCTGAATGATTTGCACAGATATTTACTGAAAATATGGTGGCCAAATACATAAATGACCAAATTAATAAATCTAAATTCATTACTACCGGATTTGATTATTATGTTGCAGTTCTGCCAGGACTACATCATAGCTTTTAAACTTTTTGGTATTATATGTATTAACCTTGGTTTTGTTTATCTATGTGAGAATACAGTAAGAGCAAGCTTGGCTTAAACACATACTCTCCCAAACCCACATGTGTGCATACGTTCATTCTCATATTCCAGACTCCAGTTGTGTGATGTATAATTAATGTGGCCCCGTGGGCACGGATCGCTCAGCCGCTGGATTAAGGGAAGGAGAGAACACGAGCTGAGAATGTGACCGTAGCTCCCCTGGGTACCGCCGCCTGGTCCATCTCTGCAATCAAAGACTACGAGCTGCAGGATGAAAAGACAAGAGGGGGGGTGGTGGTAGGAAGATATTTGGGGTTTTGGGGAGTGGGTGGAGGTGGGTAGAGAAGGAGCATGGAAATGTGATTTTATCCAATGACAGGCACATTGTTTGAAACGCAGACATTTGCTATAAGCAAATGTAGTGACATTTGTTAATGTATGAAGGTAATTTTATCTATGCACAGCAAAGAGGTATATGATAGATATCATTTTATAGTTAGCAGTATATCCAGTGAGACACACTATTTCTGTCTATGGGAAAAATTAATGGCCTCGCTTTACCAGTGGTGCCCCATAAATATTAGCACTAAGCCTTCAGTTTGGACTAAATAACAAATCAGTTAACAAGGAAAAAACACCTATATGATAACACTAATTTCTGCTAGGGCCCCCATGGGATTCTAGTAGTATGTTACCACTAAGCTAACCACAATTCACATGAACATTTTTTTTGCTGTTCTAGATTAAATGTGAACATGAAGTCTGCAAAAGACAATGGGCCTCATTCACCAACCATTCTTAGAAAGCAGTTTCTTCTTAAAACCCTATTATGCAGTTTTCATGAAGATTCTGACATTCACCAGTGTTTTCTTATTTAGGATTTGTTCTTAGGTAGAATCTGTTCACCCTCAACAGCACAAAGGTGCTAACAATTCTGCGGTTTAAGAACACATTTTTAAACAGACATAGACTCTTTGGAGAGCTAGCTTGTCTGTATACTTAGTGTTGTACAAGAGCGTCCTCCTGCTTTTTTCCCATCTTAAATACCAAATAAATACTGCTAAAGCTACTAATAATTGCCCATTTACGCCAGCATCGCAGTCACCATGCCACTGTTGCTGCAAATTCAGCGCAAATGTGAACGCAGCACTAGCCGCAGCTGGTCTTCATCTGAAGCACATTATTCCAAAACGTGATAAAAATCCAAAACACTTTGTTTTTTTTTTTTTAACAGAAAGCTTATACATGTAATAATTATGAATGATCACATACAGGCAAATGTTTAAGGCAATTTAATTAGCACACGTGAAATCTGACACGGTTGTTTCTTGCTGCGGTGTGCCAGCATAAAATGCCGTGCAAGAACTTTTCCCTGCAAGAACTTTTTTCTTTCGCAATTGAAAGCCTGTTTCATGAGTTTGCATTATTATCAGGTTAATTTAGGCTAAAACGATATAGTTAAATTTGAATATTGTGATTAAACATCAGCTAACAAGACAAGCAGTACCACTCTTGCTGGCTAATAACAAACCTGCTATTTTACAGTTGATATAGCTGCTAGTAGCTCAGCAACTTATAGGGCAAAACTCACATTTTTTTTGAATATTTAGATTTTACAACTTTGTTGTTGCCCTGAAAGGTTTACACTGGAATTACTGTTTATTTTGCTGTTGCATTGTCTAGATTATCCAGATGCATATTCATAACAAAGTTTTTTGTAATACTTCATTCTTGTTGTTTTTATTATGCTTTTTCTCTAGTTAAAGTCTTGTGTAAGACAGTGAGGTATACAGAATTTAAACGTTTTAAGCACTGATTTCAGAATGTTTTTCGGGAATCTACTGATACCTAGAGTTCAGGTATTGGAATCCGTATCAGAAGAGAAAAACAACAAGCACAATGATTAAATGAAATAAAATTTATAGATATGCGTTTCCCACTGCTCTTTACCACCCCTGTGGTAAACAAAGCTGACACATTTTGTGTTATAGACATTTTTCTGCCAAATTGGATCTTCTGAATTCCAAGGTCAATAAGTATGAATATTGCTACTTGCGTGTTACGAGCGACACACAGTTACTTTCCTTAGTTAGGTGAAAGTAAGGCTACTGCTATAACTGCACCCTAATTCAACACTTTTTATATATGACACCAGTTTCTCAAATTGTGTCACTTGACTGCCACACTTGATGAAGCTTGCTGGTTTACATGGTATTTTGGTAAGGTCACCAGTCTTATGATGTGAGTAAATGCACAGCGTTAACTTGTATGTAGGATATTGTCACTTTCGTATCAAAACCCTGTAACACTTTTGTTTTTAATTACTTTATACCATTTGAGAATACCATTTGCCCTTTACATTGTTTGACCATCTTATCACACATGGGAACAGAAATTGAACAAAAGTACATTAAAACTTTGTTATATTAAAGTAGATGAAGGCTAAGAATGTTTTTCCTTCTCCTATACAATTATGATACTTAGATCTGCTTCCTTCTCTGATACAGTGACGATATACAGATCTGCTCATAGGTTTACATACCTCTAACTGAATTGTAAGGTATTACACTTACACTTCTTATTTTAAAAAAAGACAATTAATAATACAAAACATATTTCTTTAATTTACTAATAGTGCTCAAAATAAGCTGTTTATCATCACAGAAATGTGCATGTTTTATTTTAACTGAAATTACACAGTCAAAAGTTTATGTACACTTCTATGTTGGGCCAGTTAATACACTCTCAGGTACATTGAGATCACTGTGAAGGCTATGAATTTGCAGCTGTGTCTTGTTTGTAATCAGTATATATGTATTAATAGGGAAACCTTGTGCATTTGTTTTATCCTGAATTTACTGAATACTAAAATATGGGGAAAGTAAAATAACTGTCAGAGGATCTATAAGGAAAAAAGTAATTCCACACTAAATTAGGAAAGGGTTATTAAACAGATGTCAAAATGGCAATCAGCACTATTCTGTGTTCTGTGGATAGCAAGTCAGGATCAGGATGACCAAGAAAGATTTCTGAGAAACCACCAAGAAAACTCCATAAGGTTTAAAGAAAAACCCACAGGCAACATCTATTCAAATTTAGGCTTATCTGAAGCAAAATGATGTAACTGTTTCAGAATGTACAATAAGGATGTATTTAAACAGAAATGGGCTACATAGTGTGTTGCCAGAAAAATAGCCATTTTGTGCCCACATCACAAAATAGCAATGTTGCAACTGCACCAAACAGCATCTAGAGAAACCTCAGGACTTCTGGAAGTAATTTGGAGTGTTGAGACACAAATTAAAATTTATGGCCACAACCATAAACTTTACATTATGTTAATGTCATTGAGCCACTTTTAGGAGAACTCAAAAATACAAATATGTGATGGAACCAAAGAATTTAAAGTACACAGAGGCTTTTTGCCAAGAAGAGTGGGCAGCTTTACCACCTGAAAAAATAAAGACAGTGATTTACAACTATTACAAAAGAGAGCAAGCTGATGCTCAAAGGGAACATGATATTAAGAACCAATGGTATGTCAACATTTGTTTGTTTTTTTTTCAGTTATCATTATGGTTAATATAATACCTGGATATTTCTGTAATGATACATAGCTTCATCTGAGCACTCTTACTAAATAAAAGAAACTTGCTTGATATGATCATGCATTTTTTAAAATGGTAAATAGGGCTGGACAGTATGACAAAATATATATCATTGTCATGATAAATTATGTCACAATAAAATCTGCTTTTCTGAATATATCATGTATATCAATGGTACTACTTTCAACATTGACCACCTGCATGTTTCATTATAAAGAAAGCAAAATCAGCCCCTTTTAACTGGATTTAGTGCAACACAGCATTGAATTTTAACAATACTGAATAAAGATGATTGTACTCACAGTTTTTCGTAGTATTTTTTAGCACTACTGGTTCTTTTCTCTCAGTTCCAACTGATCAGATGTCTGAAAAAATAGTATTGCAATATGATATTTTTACCATATCTCTAATGGTAAATATCCCACAAATTCATCCAGAAATCTGGGAAACTACTGTTTGGCCATGTTTCAGTTACAGTTGGGTATATAAACTTGTATTTAGCCATACTGTATGTAGTCATATTCCTACTTTTATTAATTAACACAATTGCAGGTTTTGGAATTCCCTGGTTAACCACAATGCACATTGGAAGGGTGGGAGGGGTTTGAAAATTTTCCCCATTGACAAAATGGCTTAGACCCAGGGTCTGTCTAGATGCTAATGGCAAGCTACAAAATGCTGACATGTCCACAGATGTCTATGTAATGTAAAGTAGGGAGTGCTAGTTGACATGGGAAAAAAATACTACAGTTAGCAGTGTGTGCTCTGTGGGCTCCCTGCTCCCTGCATAACTTCCAGTCACTCTGAAGCCCAAATGAAGAGAATGCATGGGAGGGCTGAAGTGATTCTCTTGCTATACAATCACGCAAGTGAACCTAATTTGTATTTCTGTCTACATTAACAAAGCCTGTCAAAATGGAGTCATATGATGTTTATGAACTAAATGCACATATAGGAGCTAACTTTATAAGCCCAAGAGACACACTTACAGGGTAGCTCTCTGTGAAATGTTGCAATAGTGTCGCAAGAATGACAGTAACTTGTCACTGAGTATGAATCAACAAGCTGATGTTTATTCTTTCAGTGTGGCATTAGCTGTGCAAACCATATACTGTCAACACTCTGGTACGCTCGGCAAGAATACTGGGCACTTCTAAGTGCTCTCTTTATTTGACTTGCCATGTAAATGATTATTAGAAATTAAAATATAGAGAAAAAAGTGGTGAGTGCGTTAAGGAATCAAACTCAGAGCGAGAAATTAGGCTCTTTAGTCCTTCATACTGAAATCTGATTAGGATTTCTTCTTAGCAATGGGTAGATTAGGCGACCCCATCTTCAGCAGAGAGGGTGATACCATTTTGAAGATTGCATTACTTTGACCTGTGCTGGATCTGTTTCTGAGGTAATTAGCTAGACAGAAAAAAGAGATTTTGCTTCATTACACACTGAAAGAAAAATCAGCTGTGAACCCTCTCTGTTTTCTTACGAAACATGTCTTTGAGAACACTTGTTTGTGTGCTTTATGGCTTCATGAAATATGCATGCAACATGCAACAGTAATGAAACAAGAGATTGCTACCACTGAACGCTCTTTGTCTTGTCGTTCTACAGTGAAACCCTATTTTAAAGAAAATATTGAAAGGACAATTTTGATTTCGGTATTTCCATGGTTGTCTGTTACTGATATATGGAGAGAAAAGCACTTTGTACTGCTACATGACAGAGTCTGTGAACAATATTCACCAGAGGCTTCATGAGGCTAAAAACAGATTCTATGGCTCTTTTATTTCAAATCCGTTGTTTACTACCTAAGACAACATGTCATTTGGTGGATAAAATAAGGTTTTTACTAACTGTATTGATTTTAACCTACTGTATTATCATAACCTTTCCTTTGTTCTGTTTTAGCACCATGGGCAGTTAACAGTTGTCAGTGTCTGGGAAAGACAAGGATGTTCTTTTGTGCGTCGTCTTTTGACCAGTGTCACAGATTGAGTTCTTTATCATGATTGGCCATATCCTATGTCTGAATTCTGTTGGACGCTTTAACAGTAATTGCAACATGAAGCAGAATGATTCAGCTAACAAACCTCATTGCCAACCACCCTTTCATTAGGAAGATCTGTGCACAAGTGATGTCTCAAAAGTCTGGACTTCATGAGCTGCTCGGCCACCGTTTCCTATACATTGACTTCTCACTCAGTGAAACGCACAGTGGGGCACAGCTCATTGGTGTGGTGCCAATTCAGGCCAAGGCTGCATTCTCTCACGGCTCGGCCTCTCTCTGCTCTGCACTCACCATGCGTAACGAGCTGTTGCACAAGGCAAGAGAGCAAGACCGAAGCATATGCAAGTGTTGTGACTAGACTTTGACTTCCCTTGACTGGTCAAAATGTTCTTTCCAGCACTGACTATTATGTGGTGGCTCTGATTACTTCAAAATCCCCTTGGCTTTTGGCATCCAATGACACTGAAGCAAATAATAGAGCTTCTGCTTCTTATGCTTCCCAGATTAATTGGCTGGGTACGTTTAGCACATTTTGGATCAATGAGATTGTTTTCTCACTGAAAAGCTGAACAATTAGATTTCTCTCATATTTTCAGCATTTGATCAAGCTAATGAACAACAAAGCCCTTGTTTCATAGCTCGTCTTTGCCAAGGGTGCTAGAAAAACTGGAGGATGGTGGATTCACGAGGTGCGAGCTTTTAGTTGGAGGATTCTATGCTGTATGATCAAACATTGTGGGGGTTGCCTTATGGGTGGGTGTTAGCCTAGATATGATGCTATTTTTTCTCATTCCCCTTTTAAAGTAGTAGAGCCAAAAAGTGCTCGGCAGTCATTATCATATCTAATGGAATGCAGCTGAAGGCAACACAACAGAGGGCATCAGCAACTTTAGTGGGGGGGCGGCAGGGGGTAGACTGTGAGACACTGCGGAGTTCAGACGAGGAGAGAGAGCGAGAGAGAGAAGGAAGAGAGAGAGAGACAATGACTCGCTAGAGGCAGAGCGGAGACAGAAAAACACAAAGCAGTGGAAAGCACGCGCCTCCTTGGTTAACCTCCGCATACGTGGCTTAACGGAGCTCTGAATAGGACTTCAGTTTTCTCGTGTGTGGGCTGTGCGTAGGGGTTTTGCTTTTTTTAGTGAGCAGCCCCTCGGACTGTCTTTGCCATGCGGGCTCCACGTTTAGTCCTCAGCTCCGTCTTCTGGATGGGGATTCTGTTGAGAGTCGTCTCTACCCAAGGTAACGTTCTCGTTCGCGTTCACCTACCTTAGAGGGATGTTTGAGAAGATGCGCTCTGTTCGGGTTCACCTTCTTCTAGCTGGTGCAGCGCACGCATACGCGTCCTACTTTGGAAACTTGACGATTCACTCCCGTTAGAATTGTTCTGCGACGAAATGGAAAACGCTCTGGTAGCTTTGGAGAAGCTTCTGGGTCCGAGTCTTTGCGTGAGTGTTCGAAGCACCATGTGGGATTCGTACAGGCTCTGAATGAGAGCACACGTCGCGTTTACTGTGCCTTGTTTGCCGTGTGGCTCCTCTGAAGCGTTCAGTGCTGCCCGTCTTGGTTCAGGCATCGCTGCTGTTGAAACGTGGGCAATGGTTCGGTTTGTACTGCATGATAAACAGAGCACTGCAGAAACCCTGGTTGGGTCTCCAGCCAAGTGGACCTGTGCATCAGTCTGCCACAAAATGAATGTATATAGCCTCAATCAGTTTTCCTAAATCAGGCCACTGGGTCAAGCAAGGGCTGGTCGATCTTAAATGTAGATCTGTATTGATATTGATTCATCAGCTGAGGATTTCTTCCTTCCCCTAACATGGTTGAGGAACCAATGCAAGTGAACGTTGATTCACTTTTATCTCAGTCCATGTGGACGTTTACCTCACCAGTAAATTATTTAAGCTAGATTGTTTAGTTATGTGTCCCCCAGACACCCCAACGCATGCTTCGTTTGAACAGACCTACTCTTGCATTATTCATTGAAACGCATAGGCTCCAACCATACACATCCCTGAAAAGCCTTTTCTCAAACCCAAGCCTGGACTAGGTCATTAATTCCGCCGTCGATGGACTTGCATGTGAAGCAGAAGTTGTATCAGGGAAATGTTGTTTCAGCAAGAAAATATCCTGGACTTGCAGTGGTTAACTGACCTTACCATCTGGTCCAGTCTATGAAGCTAGTCTAGTACATGCAGTCCAAGTGACAGATATGGTAATGTCATGGTAAAGTAATTGCTTAGGCTGGCACAGGACAATTGGGAAAAGAAGCGAAAACAGAAAATCTAACTAGGCAGACGGTGTGATTATGCACAGGCTACTGATATTGGCTCTGTCCCTTAATTAGTATTTCTCATTATCCAGGCATATCACGTCCAGAATGATCTGCAGGCAGAATGCTTGTCTCCTTCCGTCATTCTGTTGTGTGGACATGGCAGCGCACCTGTTGGCCGTTTGGAGATTCTTCTTCTGTAACAACATGCATAATATGGAGCTTTGTCTGTTACACCAAGTCTCTGCTTTGGTCCATTCATTTGTTCATTTTTTTTCTTTTCCTGAAGCAACTATCTGAGTAAAGCTGTCAGACACATCCGTGCAACTGTGCTAAAGTCAGTTGAATTGTATGTTTTTGCTCAGCTGTCAGTGTGGTTTTGGCAGGGTCGGCCTCCACTCTTGTGACAGATTGTCTGTTCTGCACTCTACAGAACTCACTCAGCTAGAATTTGTCCTTCTTCTCTCATCACATCACTTCTCTGCGGCTTTCCAGAGCGGCCCTTGTTTCTGATGTGCTGTGCTAAATCAGAAGAGAAAAGGCAAGAATATCCTGCAAGGAAATGTCTGGAGAGGAAATGGAAGGTCTGTCTGAGGAACAAACCCAGGAGCTTGTTTGAGACAAAATCAAGATGAGCAGGTTACTACTCCAGGTTTTTAAGAGATTTAGTGCAAACATTATATTAGTTGTGTGGAATGGGTATTGCAGATGAGATGTAAGGGTGATTGATGAACTTTCTCATTCTGTGTGAAAGGCAGAGTGGCCAAAAATAGGTTTGTTGTGTTTAATGATTGGATTCCTTGCTCCTAATTCAAAATGAAAACAAACACCAGCTGACATATACCTTTAGCACACATTCAGCAAACAAGAACACAGTGTAATCCTACTAGGGTATTGCTGGACTAGCAGGCATAGGACTTTTCTAATACAATATGCTAGTCCATTTAGAGGAAGAACTTCACCAGCAGGGAGTCTCACAGCTTCACGCAAGATCATAACCGCAGTTGCATTTCATAAGATTTGAAACTGGAGCTTCTCACAGATCATTTGCACTGGATCTACCTTGTAGCATCTCACAGTGACTTTGTATAGCCTGCTGGCATGTAGAAAATCTTGGAAAGTGCATTCTGTCATATTGCCTTCAAAGAGGCACAGCTTGTGTTTGATGCCCTAAAGGCACTGACAGGTCCTCTGCAGTGTCCAGAGCTCAGCTCTGCAATCCAAGACCCCCCGTTATCCCCCCCAGCTCCGATTCTCAAATCCTTTCAACTGAGCTCATGATTGCTGGAACATTTCCCTTAGTCCCTGTGGATGGGTGAAAATTCCTTAGGTGTTCTGGTCTCACAACAGCAAGAGGAGAGAATGGGAGGCAGTAAGAAGAGAGCTTGATGATTATTTATTCATTTCTAAATGATAAATGTTAAGAAACCTGTCAAAAGGGAGAAATGGAATTCTAATGATTTCATTTAACTTTATAAGTTAAATGAAGGTTTAATTTTTTGATATGCTGTCCAAGCATGCTCTGCAGTATTGCACTGTAACCCTAGTTAAATGTGTTGCACAGTTTTACATGTAGTGTTTTGTGTTGTTGATTATGAGTCAAAACTGAAAGACAAGAGAATGGGTCTAGATAGTTGGGATAATACCTCACATTTGACCCACTCTGCTGGGTTAGGCCATACCATCTCCAGTGGCAAGAACACAAATATGCTCATTTTTTAGCTCTACTCTTAAAAAGGTTGGGTTTTAGGGGATCTTTAGTAAAGACAGTGGTTCTATATAGAACCATGAACATGTAAATAACCATTTGCATGCTTAAAGGGTTCCTTACATGGTTCTTTGCATGGTTCTGGTGCTACAAAAATCATTCTTTATAAAACCATATACAACACATCCTTCATCAATCTGAAAAAAAAAAAACATTTCACGATGCAAAGAACCCTTTAAGCATGCAAATGGTTCTTTGATATTCCGTGGTTCTGTATAGAACCATTGTCTTTACTAAAAACCCTTGAAGAACCGTCTTTTTTAAGAGTGTAAGGCAGAGACGTTGTAAAGGATAAGACAGGTCACTGGTTGAGATATGAATAGGATAGCTCACACCGCTCAACATGGCGTCTGTTTGCAGAGAAAGTCCTGTCCTTTAAGGAAAAAGAGCCAGTCAGCTTGCTGGTTACACCATGAGCAGGGAAAGCCCCCCTCATTGTGGAGATTGCAACCAGAACAACCCAAAAAAACATGTTTTTGTGCAGTACTAAGCCAAACTATTTATGAGGTTTTGTCAGATTTTACCAGTGATTTCAAATATGGTTTTGAAACTGTAATTTGACCTTTAGTTTAGAGTATTTTAGTCTCTCCCCATTCAAAGGAGACTGGTCTTGTATGACTTGCAATAACTGCATCTTTGCATCTTTGCAATGTCACAGAGTGAACATACTTTCCTGTAAGGACTTTGACTAGGGTTAAGAAGTGTCTCAAATTCTCATAATGCACTATGGTCTTCTGTTATGTGAGGTATTACTGGTTGCACAGGTAGTTCCTGGCTGTGCAAAGCTGAAGTGATTACAGCAGATGATTGTATGATGCATTTACAGGCAGCATATCCTGATCCTCCAACATTATGCCAATTGCCTGTCACATTCAGCATGGACAGTGAACTTAATTGCTTGTTTTGTTATTTCCCAACAAACAACCAGGTTGGACAAGCTTACAGCACGTTGGAAAATTCAACCTAATGAGAAATTTTAATGTACTTTGTATACGTTAAAATACATTATGTTGAGTTTTTAAAATGCCATATTATTTAGTGAGATTATGTTGTAGCTAAGCTAGGCAGTCTGGAAACAATGACAAAGTCAGTGAGGTCACAAAAATGCTCCATGGACAGCAGTTCATCCGGCACTTTCATCACTGCTAAACTAAAAACTCTCACAAGTGAGACACTGAGAAGTCAGAGCATGAACAATGTGATTAGACAGTATGATTTGAAGTGGAATGATTCAGCAAAAAATGGGGGGAATTTCTGTTGCAATACTTAAGATAACGTAGCATTACAGATATAAAGATAATACAAGTAAATTCTGTTTCTCCCCCACAAAAGAAGGAAATCCAATGCAGGCTATCAGATCTTTACTGCACAGATATGTCATGGAGGTTGATTCTTATACGACAATGTCAGTTGAGGCAGATGGATTGGATTGGTGCAAAGCATGCACCATCTGTCAGGCACATGACACCTCAATTTCGACAGAGCATTTTACATGCTTAATATTTCAGTTTCTTTTTGCTTCAAAGCAAGGCCTGACAGCTTGCTTGTTTAGAAATGCCTCCACGCGTTGCCTTCATTTGAGAATCCCATTGAAGTGACTGCTATTTGCACCTCTGCCAAAGCCCTGCATGCTCTACGATAAACTTGAATGAAGTAGTCAAAGCGTTGCCATCAGCTCTTCTGTCTTTATGATTTAGGAAGGGAAAGTATTTGTCTTACCAACTGTAGCTCCGCACATCCTGTGCACCTTTGCCATTCGCCTTGTGTTTCATATTGGAGTGGTTAATAGTATAAATTTTGTAGTGCTTGATAATGGCCTGACATCTTTACATTTTACAAAGAATTTTCAAGGAAAATAAGATTTTTTTTGGATGTTTGGATTTCTTGTTATCCCCTCTTATTTTTACTAGCATATTAATTTGATGAAGTCCAACAAAATTATCCTACAGGACATATGCAAAGAATACTGAACTTCGGTTGTGAAAGTGGAATTCCACCAAAATTTCTGCATAGCTCAATCTTTAAGAAACAAAGTCATTTATTGTAGGTTGATGTAAAATGCACCATTCTTGAGTCAGAATTGTTCACAGTAGTGATGATAGGAAGCTGATGTTTGAAGCCTCTATAACTTACTAAAAGTTATTACATGAAATGGTTGGTAATACGCAGAGAGGTACATGTAGGGATTTTTAAGCCAGAATACCCAAAGCACCCAAGGCTTTTTTCAGATTTCTCCATAATCAACATTACATATAAAAACTCACAAGACACATATAGATTCACTGGTCATTTTGGATAGTTAATAAGTTGGCTATATTTGCGTTGTAGATATT